CCTAACGTTCTCCAGATGTCCCGCCATCTGGGACTCCGGTCCTGGAGTAAGAACAGAAAAATCAGATGGGAGGGTTTACCTAGGAATGAAGATTTGTAGCCCAGGAATGGCAGGAGGTTAGAGGGGCAAGGGATATTAGGGTTTAGACTTCATTATCTCTTGGAATTGCACTACTTTCAAGATCTGGAACTTTTTGATTGTACTTTGACCACAATCTCCTACTTTCTTTTCGAGTTTTCTCTGGCTGTCCCCTGTGCCCGGAGCCGTCCACTTCTCTTCTCCTCTCCAGCTCCCGGCTTCTCTGGCTTCCTTCAAGTCTTAGCTCAAGTCCTACCTTCTACAAGGACTTGTAGTGCCTTCTTTCAAGGACAACCCCTGAGGTGTCCTGTCTAGACCTCGTTTGTATGTAGTTGTTTCTTTGGCGTTGTCTACCTTGTTAGACTGTGAGGGATCTAGGGACCTTGTTTTTGCCTTTCTATCTGCTGGGCTTAGCACAGTGCCTGGTGCATAGTAGGTACTTAATAAGTGTTAGTTGACTGACTCTCTCACCTTTCCTACTTTCTCACTCATGCTCTGGCTTCATTTACCCTCTCATTCAGCCTTGACCCCTCTGTCTACTACTTTAATGTTTCCTGATTGATCTGAAAATCCTCATCCCTGGGTAACCCCCCTTATCTGATTTCTCTGTTCCTGCTCCAGCGCTGCTGGGTGTCCCAGGAAAAAGTCACGAAGTGCAATTTATTTCGCCCACTGCAAACTTATGGTGCCTAATCTCAGCTGGACCCCTGCTACCACTTGACAATCCCTCTGCTTTATACTTAGCAATTTCCTATCTCATTCCCCACAACTGTTCCTACCCTTTTCTTCAGCCCCCAACTCCATTACCCCTGCCCTTACTTACCAAAGATGACTTAGTCTTCATTGAGAAAAGTCTGACAGGAACTTCCTCATCTCTCATTTCTTCCTCAAATCATTCCTCCTTCCCTCTAGTTACAAGGATGTGATGTCCCAACACCTCATTAAAACGAAGCCTTCTGCCTCCTCTAGGACTTTGCTCCAGCAGTTAGACTTCTCTTTTATGTATTTTTTAAAGTCTTCTTCAGTCCTGGCTTCTTCCTAGACATGCACAAGTCTCCCCAGTCTTAAAAAAAAAAAAAAAAAAAAGCTTTTTTTTTGTCCTTCTGCCCCATTCAGCTACCACCTCACCTCTCTCTCTCCCTTGACTGACAAACAAAAGAAAAGAAAAAAAAAGGTGTCATCAGTTTTGTACACACAACTGCACATAGATTTTTACCGCCCGCTTCCCCCCCCCCCCCTCCCCCCACCAAACTGACTCCAAGAAAAATGTGTGTATGGACACTTCTAATCTCTGAATTCAATAAGTAGTGTTCAGTCCTCATGCTGTTCTATATCTCTGCTGCTTTGACTAGTCCGGATCACCCCCTCCCACTACATACTGAATCCTTTCATGGCTTCCAAGAGAATACTCACTTTGGATTCTTCTCCTTCCCACACTGCTCCTTTTCCATCTCTTTCACATCCTCTTCCTGACCCATTAAGATGGATATTTCCCAAGCCTTTGTCCAGGCTCTTCCTTTCTCTGCATTCTTTCCATTGATAATCTCAATCATTTCCATAGTGATGCAAATGATTCCCAAATCATCACCTCCAGCCTCGCCCGCACTTCTGAGCTCCAGTCTTGCAGCTCCAACTGCCTAAAGGACCTCTCCAGTTGGCTGACTTTTCCACTAGTCCCTCCATGTCCAAACCCCATCCTCGCTGAGGGTGTTGCTGACTGCAAAGGGAACATGGGAGAGAGAGGCTGGTTGCCTAGAAAGGACTAAGGGAAAAGAAGAAACCCTAGGGAGGGGACAAAACTGAGCTGCTTGGGGATTTCTTCCTAAGGTGGAAGGACAACAGGAGTTAACTGGTTGTAGGAGTTAATAGCCCTTCTCGACTGCTGTTGCATGCTATAATCCCTCTATGACCTGGAAAACTATAATAAAAGCTAGCATTCATATAGTACCTACTATGTGCCAAGCACTGTGCTAAGTACTTCTAACAAACATTATCTCAGCTGATCCTCACAACAACCCTTTAAGGTAGGTGCTATCGTTACCTCCATTTTACAGTTGAGGAAAATGAGGCCGAGGTTAAGTGACTTACTCAGTCACACAGCTAGGAAGTGTTTCAGGTTTTCCTAACTCCATATCCAGCGCTCTAGCCACAGCGCCATCAGGTGCCTCTAAAGTCATGAGAAAACCATGTCTTACGTTGTTATTCTTCCTTCCTGACAAGTCTTTTCTGTATGCTGTGCCCTATGCCTAGAGTGTCTCATCCCTCCCGTCTTTACCTGCTCTATCCCTACACATTATGTAAAACCTTACTCAAATGCTACTTCCTATGTGAAGCTTTCCCTGAACAGCCCTCTTCCCTAGACCTTGAATAGCTCTTTGATCTCAATCGAGTGCTCATTAATGTATTTCTCATGGATAATTGCATATCATAGTTAGCTGTGTGTGTCTTATCTCGCTGCGAGACACTAAGCTCTCTTACCTCCCTGACCCATTTTAGCTCGTGGCAGGCCTAGCACTGGGCTCTTACACAATAGGTACTTAGCTGTTTTTGAAACTGAATTGATCGCTTTCGGCTTCGCCGCCCCGGTTATCTGTGTACTTGATAAAACTCCCCTTTATAAGGCAGAGGGCTAGGGCTGGGACTGGGTCCCAGTTCTTTCAGTCACCAGTGCCTAGCAAAGGGCCTTGCACCGAGCAGATAATTAATCAATGTTTGTTGAATTGAATTGAAACGACGTGAGGTTTTGGAGGAGAAAATGGGATGGGATAGATGGAGAGTGTGGGCGTGGAGGACTCTCAAGTTGAGGAAGGAACCAACAGTGAGGATTCCCTATGCTTCCAGTGTGTTGCCCAGGAAGCCTTGGGGGGTGGGGGTGGGGGATGGTCAGAGACAGGGGGAAGGGCAGTTAGTTGGTGGGGAGCCTAGAGTTCTGGGACAAGAAAGTAAAATGCAATCTGTCCCTGGGAGAACATTTAGACGGCCTAGGCTAGAATGGGTGGGACAGGACAAACCACGTAGGAGGCTATTCCTGATAGGATCCGATAGATAGATAGATAGACTGGGGCGAGGACTTGGGAAATGGAAAGAACCATCCGACATGGCTATTTATCTGGATCTGGGCAGTCAAAAAGAAGTTGCTGTAATAAGAACCTTGGGTAAGGCGAGCTGAGAGGATGCATGGCCAGTGGGTTGAACCTTAGACTTGGAATCCGTAGCCGGGGTTCCAAGCTGGCCTCAAAGTCAGGTCAAGTGGATCGAGCACTCTCTGCAAAGTGAGAGCAAACATGGCGCAGTGGGGCCGGCCTTGGAATCAGAAAGTCTAGGGTTGAATTCGGAATCGGCTCTGCCCTTCTAGGAGGGGTCCAGAGGCGTTGGCACTTCTCACTTCTCATGCCTCCCAGGCCGCTTTCTAAAACTCGGAATTCCAGCCCTGCACATCTGCTTTTGTGAAGAGAGTTTCCCACCTGGAATTCCCCATACCAGTGGCATCCCAGATCCGTAATAAAAACCGTGGAAGGCTCGGTGCGTGCTGGGTTAGGCGTCGGTAAAATGAAACAGTTCTTGGCCTCAAGGGGTTTCCATTCTGCTGGGGAATAAATACCGTTTGGGAGCAGATTAAGAAATCCCAAGTAAATGCCAACAAGCTTGCTGCGAGAGCAAGGTGGGGAGGACGAGGGCTGGCTGGAGACACGGGCTAGCAAACTGGCTGTGACCCCGGGCCAGGCCCCTGCACCCCGCACACCGTGTTTCCTCTCTCGTAAATGGAAAGAAGCCTACCGGTCCTCCCAACTCCCTGGGTGGGGACACCAGCTCCTAGATTCGCAAGTGGAAGGGAGGGAAGCAGGGACCGTGGAGCCCCGCCCACCCAACCAAAAGCACACTTGGATGGAGGAGGGATTTGAAGCCAGGTCTCGAAATCCTGTGCTCTGCGAACACAGGGAGAGCCGCCACTGTTCAGGGAATGCTACCCTCTCTGTTCCTTCGTTACTGTCATTGTTTTGAAGTGGCTGCCGGACTGGACAAAGTTATTGGGGGGGGGGGGGGGGGGGGACTGGAGATTTTTCTTTGGGAGAAAGTCGTCTGCCAAGGAGTCCCTGAAAGTCTCCTTCAGTAACTAGTAGACCCTTTTCCCATGGAGGAGGCCAAAGCTGGTCCCTGGTCCAAGGGTGCCCTAGAGAAGGCTTGCTGGGGAGGGGGCTGGGGGCTAAAGGCCAGTGACAGGGAAGGGGAGAGGTCAGGACCCGAAGGCGTCAGGTCCAGTCCCCACGCCTCATTTAACTGAAGCCCAGAAAGGATGAGGGACTTGGCCAAAGGCACATACAGCTGGCGGTGGTGGGATTAGAACTCTGAGCTGGTGGCTGGTGAGTCCAATTTCTGCGCGTCCCTGGCACTGCACCTTGTGGTCTGTGCGCTGGGAAGGGCCGGGGGCCAAGGGCCCCCTGACACGTGATGTAGCCGTGTTGTGGCGGGGGCGGGGGGGGCGCCTCTTTCACTTGAGGCTGCGTTTCCGTCCAAGGGAGGGACTGGCCAGGCCTGGCCTGCCCTATGGGGCGCGGGGGCAGCCCACCGAGTCCCAGAACCATCGGGAGCCTCCCCAGCTCCGCGAACCAGACAGTGACGAAACGGCGGAAGATTGTGTGCCGCCGCCAGCGCGCCCCCCAGCCCGGCCCAGCCCGGCCCCCGCCTGCCCAGCCAGCCGGCTGGCCTTGGAGAGTGGGCAGCAGCCTCCGGCTCCGGCCCCAGCCCCGGCCCCCTCGGTCTCCTCCACAGGAACGCAGCAGGTTTGGCCAGCCTGGGGGCTGGGGCTGGGCCGGGCTGAGCTGGGGTGGGGAGGGGGGGAAATCCCATGACGCGGCCGGCCCCGCCCCCCGGCCCTATATAAAGGGGTACTTGGCGCGCTCTGACCCCAAGCAGCTGGTCCGAAGCGGTGAGCAGCAGCAGCCGGGGAGCAGTGGCAGCGGAGGAGTTGGCGACGGGAGCAGAGGGCACCTGAAGCCAAGCCAACCCAACCCTACCCAGCGATCGAGTG